TTTAAACGACATTTAAATTCGAATTACCTTGCTTATTCAATTTTTCCAGATAGGCAGGGCATTGCCTTTTGCGATGCCCAGGTTGCTTGCAATGATAGAACTTTCCTTTGGGCTTTTTCATACCAGCAGCCGCACCTCCAGCTGCCGAAACCTTTTGAGCCTTCTTTTTTTTTCTTACAACCTTTCGACTTAGAAACTGAAGCTTTCTCAACATTCAGTGCCACAACTGGAGCTTTCTATTTGATAATAGATTCTTGTTATACCCCATATTTTCGTACTGAAAGTACGCCATAAGTAAATTGATGGACGCTCGGAAAATGAGATGTTAGATCCCACATTTTTATACGTTAAAGTTTCGTCGTAAGTTAATTGACGTAAGTTCGGGAATAAGATTATTTTGAGATTACAAGCATTATGCTATTTCAAACAAGTGATAAGTAAATTCGTGAAGGTGAGAGGGTAAGTAAATCGAAGTTTTGTCAAAGTTTGACGCTTTGGGATAAAATATAATACCCGGTATTTATGGACTAGTTCCATACCTGGTACCACATGATGTGACGACCCGGCCGGTCGTCTTAAGTATTTACACCCCGATCCCTTATTAACTGCATCCCCCGAGTCTATTTCTGTTATTTTGATTTGCCGGGATGTTCGATTTGAGTTTCGGAGAGTTTTGGGACACTTAGTCCCTAAATGAAAGCTTAAGTGTTGGAAAGTTGGCCGTAGTCGGAACAGTGTAAAGACAACCTTGGAATGGAAATCTGATGGTTAGCTCCATTGGATGATTTCGGGCTTAGGGGCGTGTTCGAATTGTATTTTGGAGGTCCGTAGCAAATTTAGGCTTGAAATGCCGAATGTAGAATTTTTGAAGTTTCCGGTTCGATAGCGAGATTTTGATCCGAGGGTCAGAATGGAATTCTGGAAGTTGGAGTAGCTCCGTAGTGTTGAATATGACTTGTGTACAAAACTTCAGGTCATTTGGACGAGGTTTGATAGACTTTTTGATCGAAAGCGTGTTTTTAGAGTTTTTAGAATTCTTAGGCTTGAATCCGATGAAAAATAGGTGTTTTGATGTTGTTTTGAGCATTCCGAAGGTTGGAACAAGTTTGAATGATATTTTAGTATTGGTTGGTAGGTTTGGTTGAGGTCCCGGGGGCCTCGGGTGTGTTTTGGATGCTTAATGGATCACTTTTGAACGTGGAAAGACAACAGATTTTCTGGTGATGTGCTGCAGAGAAAACATTCATCGCGTTTGTGAGAGAGTATCATATTCGCGTAGAGCATCTGGGTGAAGCAACTGAAATTTGCTTCGCGTTCGCGAAGTTAAGGACCCGTTGGTCTTCGCGTTCGCGACATGGTCCTCGCGTTTGCTTAGGGTCTGTCTGTGTAAGCTACGCATTCGCGAGTGGACCTTGCATTCGTGAAAGAGGAATTTGGCCAGCAGGACTTTTGTGCATTGCGTTCGCGATAGTAGCCTCGCGTTCGCGAAGAAGGAAACACCTGGATATATTTTTAAAACCCAAAATCGAGGGTTTGAGCCATAATTCATATTTTGGACTTGGGAGCTCAGGAGATTACGATTTTGAAGAGATATTCACTTGGGCGATTTGGGTAAGTGATTCCTACTCGATTTAGACTAATTTCCATGAATCTACACTTAAATCCATCCTTTAATTTTGAAATTTTGGTGGAAATTGGGGAAAAGTTCTCAGACTAAGAAATTGAGTTTTGATTGGAGATTTGACATCGGATTGGTATAATTTTGATATGGTTAGAATCGTAAGAGTGTGAGAATTGTGAAACTATAAATTTTACCCAATTCCGAGATGTGGGCCCTAGGGGCGTTTTGGTCATTTTACCTAATTTTGCGTATTAGCTTAGAATTTAATTGTAGAATTAGTTACTTGAAGTGTTATTTATATTGTGAAATTGAATTGAATAGATTTGGGCCATTTGCAGTCGAGTACTCGTGGCAAGAACGTGGTTTCAGATTGATTTTTGAGCTGGTTCGAGGTAAGTGGCTTGTCTAACCTTGTGTGGGGGACCTTCCCCTTAGGATTGGTATATTTGGTAACTGAAATGCCTTGTACGTGAGGTGACGAGTGCGTACTTGTGCTAATTATTGGAAATCCGGTTTTCTTTAAGTAATTATTAGCATGTTTCCTTTCCTGTTTCTATTACTTGCGCTATTAGGCCTGTTGTTAGCTTAGGAAAGCATGTATAAGTGACTTAATTGCTTTATTTGTTCAACCTGCCTTACTTGAATTTTGTGCAACATGCTAGGCTAGAATCACTTGTTGCCTTAATATGAAATATTACCATTTCTGTATATTTTCCTGTTGCTGCTTTGTATTTATTTGGGACTACGGATATGAGATTCCGGTTGCTCACTATCTGTTTATTTTGGAACTACGGATGTGGGATTCCGGTAGATACCCCTGCACAGTTATATGGAACTACGGGAATGCACCCGGTAGATTCCCCCAATATTGAGTATTTATATTTGGGACTACGGAACGGGATTTTGGTAGATCCCCGGGCACTATGAGTTGGACTACGGGACGGGATCCCGGGAGATCCATCGGATATGTACATATGGGACTACATGACGGTATCCTAGGAGATCCCTGATCGTTATCATTGGTACTGAGCTGTATTTCCTTTCCGTGTTTACCTTATTTCTATATGGTCGTTGCTGTCCTGTACATCCTGTGTTATTTTATTGCTGTACTTATTTATACTGTTCTATTTTATACTATTGATCTTATTATTTTATTTAACCTTAGTAGGGCCCTGACCTTTCTCGTCACTACCCAACCGAGGTTAGGCTTGACACTTACTGAGTACCGCTTTGGTGTACTCATGCTTCTTCTGCGCATGTTTTTCATCTGCAGATCCATGTACCGCTACTCAGGCCTACCATCCTTGAGGGAGGCGACTGCTCTAGAGACTTCGAGGTACATCTGCCGCATCCACAGACCGAGAAGTCCCTTTCTATTCTAACTGTTAAGATATTCTGGAGTTAGATTGTTAGATATTCTTAAGGCTTGTGTTTCCGTGAGTTTCTGGGTTTTGGGTAGTGTACTTGGTTTTGAGAATGTTGCGTTGTATATGCCGAGCGACATTATAACTATTGTTTCCATTCAAATATTTTGGTTTGATTATTTCTTCCACAAGTTTCATTTATGTTTCATATTTGTTAGGCTTACCTAGTCGTAGCGACTAGGTACCGTCACGACAATTCACGGAGGGCAAACTGGGGTCGTGACCGTGATTATAAGGTGTATAAAGTGTGTTAAAAGTGAGTGATATTTTAAGTAATTTGAGATAATTCCTAATAATATGGATAGTTGGGTAATTATTGGATAATGGGGGATTAACAAAATAATTAGGTAACTAAGTGGATAAGATTTGTGTTAAGGATAAACCCCCACGTGGCAGCAACCACATACCTTAACTTGCCACCTTTCAAATGACTTAATGAGCATAATTATCTTAATGTCTCTAGATCATTTGATATAATACAATTCAAAGAGATTTGGGATATTAAGTTGTTTAGTGTTTTGATGGGTATAAGGGTTGTAGTAGTTAAGTTTTAAGATCCGTCAAAATAAACTCAAGAAAATTGCCTATGGTGCATCATTTCTTCAGATTTCAGTCGTAGTTCATTTTTTACAATTGGTTTCGTTGCTTCCTTTAACGCATGAAAAGAGAATCAGAAGATGTAATTTAGCCTTCTATACATTGCAAATTCCTGAAAAATGGTAGGCAACTTAGTAATGTGACAATTCTGCTACAACAAAAATTCTAGCAAGAATATCATACGGATTTTTCCCTAACCCAGGTATGTTAAGGCTATCCCTTATTTCCTTTTGGCATGATCCATACGATACAAACGAAATGAGAAAATTCACAACTTCTATAAATGACTCTATTCATAGAAGTACTAGAAGTGCCTATGTTCTTGAATTCCCATGTGTCCTATTATTTTATCATCTGTTCATGGGTCTGGGAAAAATACATAAGTTGAAAAAGTTTACTTCATGATATTAGTTAGAGGCATAATGGTCTTATGACACTCCGAAAGATTTTATTAACGTACTTCTCATGCATTGCATTCATGTACATTGACCCACGACCAGATGATGTTATATATGTATATATATGTATATTATATATTGGGATATGAGAAAAGGTTATGGCATTATATACGCACCACCACCTGATCAACTGGTATACGTTGGTGATTTTGCCCACAGTAGCTGAGATGATATGATGGGATGCCCTCAGAGGCTTGATAATATTATGAACACATGTACCTATGCACGAGATGACATTCATACGCACATGCATGACATTATAAGTATTTCATGATTTACAGAGTTATCCTGACTGACATGTTGAGTGATTTACTCTATATTTCTTCCATGTCTTTTATGTACTTATTTATGTGCCTTACATACTCGGTACATTATTCGTACTGAAGTCCCTTTTGCCTAGGGACGCTGCATTTCATGCCCGCAGGTCCCGATAGACATGTCGAGAGCCCTCCAAGTAGACTATCCACTCAGCGAAAGATGTTGGTGCGCTCCATTTGCTTCAGAGTTGCTTGTTTGGTTAGTATGATTTAGACGTGTATTGTTTAGTATGACGGGGCCCTGTCCCGACCTTTGTGGTATTTATCTACTCTTAGAGGCTTGTAGACATATGTCATATACGTAAAAGATTGTATGACCTCGTCGGCCTATGTTCAGTACACGAATGGTTATTTGGGTCTTATAGACCCGTAATTCATATGTACAAATTTGTATTCCTTCACGCTTTACTCCGGTTCATTTACCTATGATAGAATGATATGAAAGATTCATTACGTTGGTACTTGGCTGAGTAAGGTATCGGGTGCCCGTCGCGGCCCATCGGTTTGGGTCGTGACAACTCTGCCGCTTGCAGCTCATTCAACAATTTCGTCAGTGACAAATCCATTTTGTTCATATTATAGTTCAAGCAAAATTGTTAACACTGTCAGGAAGAGTTGGCAGGACCATCTCGACTTGAGATTCCTTGTCAATCACAGCTCCAAGGACTTCAAGTTCATTCAGAAGACCCATCATCTTTAGTACATAGTCCTTGACTGATGATCTTTCAGCCATCTTGGTGTTCAAAAGGGCTTTCATGGTTGTCTGCTTAGCAACACGTTTTTGCTCACCGAACATTTCTTTGAGACTTTCGAGCATGTCGTAAGCAGACACCATAGACTGATGCTGATGTTGCAAAACATTCTTTATAGAGGCAAAAATGTAACATCGCACCATCTCATCATTGTCATAGGCCTTAACATGATCATCAGTAGCATCTTCATCAGGTTTTTCTAGGCACTCCTCAGTGATTACAAATTTGTAACCTTCAATAGTTAGGACAATATCAAGGTTCCTTTTCCAGTTAACATAATTCAGTCCTTCTAACTTGTTTTGGTTCAAAATTGAGGTAAGTGGTTTGAATGAAGACATGGTTAATCTGAGAGATATTCACATTAAATAGATTATTAGTTATGTAATTAGAATAATTAAATTCAAAACAACATATTACACATATAACCATGCTCATTGAATAGTTAGGTTCGCTAGAGAAGCTTAACTATTCATGCAAAATATATGAGTTATATAAGATATTTACCCCATAAATTAAACAGGACCAACTCAAATGGAGAGTAAACTGTTAATTTAATATAGGTAAATATCACTTTTATAAACTCTAGTTTCATTGGATCAACATGTAACTCAGTTGGAGAGTTAATATATGTAATCAAATAACTAGAGGCAAAACTAGAGTAATGATTTATAATGAACTTATCCGATGTGGAAGAAGACCTATGTCAATATATAAATTCATTATATTACTATAAAACATGATTGGAAACTATGGGAATTGAGCCCTACAATCATTGTTTTCTTTAAAAAAAAATTATTAATATATTTTTTCAAAAAATAGAAAAATGGCCAAAAACCCATCTAAACGACCCAGAATGCCCAAAAAATGCCGTACATCATGAGCAAAGCTGATGAGTATTGCTCACTGGGTCATTTCCGATGAACCTACAAAATTTGAGGTCAATCGGATTTCGACAGAATTTCAGAATTCCAAATTCATGACCTATTTGCAAAATTCTATTTTTGGCATTTTTAGGGTTTTGATTATTTTGACTCGTTCATATCACATAATATACTTATGTATGTTAATCCATGATTTCATAACTCAAAATAATATTATTATAATAATTACAGTGTCATTTATATATATATATAAACTATTTTCATGGATCGAATACAACTTATGTATATTAATCCATAATTTCATAAAAGAAATAGTATTCAAAACAGTCACGTTTTTATTAAAACAACACTGTTATCATGAAAAAATGCAACAAAAACATGATAAAAATAGATTGTCATGAAATATAATACCACTGTTTATGTAAATTAATTCATATTTTCAGAATTAAAATACTAATTAAAACAGTCACATTTTTGACATACAATGACCATACAAAACAACATTGTATTATGTATGTTAATTGTAACGACTTGACCGGTCGTTTTGACCTCTAGCACATTGTTCTCCGGTTTGAGGCCTTGAGTAGCTTCACTTAATGTATTATGACTTGTACGTGGAGTCGGAGTTGAATTTCGGTAAGGTCAGAGTTGATTCGGACGAAAAATTCTAATTTTGGAAGCTTTAAGTTCGAAGAACTAATTAAGATTTGAGTTTTGAATAAACGACCTCGAAATCGCGATTTGAAGGTTCCAATAGATTTGTATGATGATTTTAGACTTGGGTGTATGTTCAGGTTGAGTATCGGGTCGCCAGAGAGCATTTCAGTGCTTATTATGGAAGGTTGGCATAAAGGTTTAAGAATTTCATAAGTTTGGTTTGAGGTGAATTTTGATGTTATCGATGTCCGTTTGATGTTATCGTTGTGTCATTTATGACACGTGTGCAAAATTTGAAGTCATTGTGGACTGATTTGATACGTTTCTGCACAAGATATAGAATCTGAAAATTTATAATATTAATTCGAGGCGCAATTCATGATTTTGAAGTTGTTTGACGTAGTTTAAGGCTTCGACTAAGTTCGTATTGTATTTTGGGACATGTTGGTATATTTGGTTAAGATCCCGGGCTCCTCGGGTAGATTCTGGATGGTTAATTGATTGATTTTGTGACTTGAGGAAAAGTTGGAAAATTTCTGCTGCTGGTGCGATCGCTTCTGCGACCTTACAAAAGCGACCTCACAGAAGCGACTAGAGGTGATCAAGGCAGACTTAGGTTTATGATATGTTCGGGTAGACTTAGGTTCACGCCATGCTATAACTGTACTATCTGAGTCGTTCCTTGCCTGTTAAATCCCTTTATTTTACGTTACAACTTGAGACTAGACCTGTGTAGAGAGATAGACTTTCTATTGTATAGATTTGACGAGCTTCATGTTTAGCTGCAGAATAATTGTGCTTCTCTTACGGATTTTCTCCCGTGCTATGTGTTTTTCTCGAAAGGTTTTCCCTAAAGTTCATAACTCACACATTTATTCGTGAGTGGGGTCAAGGACCCGTTAAAGCTTCTTATTCTAATGGGATCGGGTTGTTCGCCTCGGTAGTACCACACTCGCATGTGAGCAGGTTGTTTGCCTCGGTAGTATAATAGATGCATCTATGGTTCGTGCCATTCGACTCTCAGTAGGGCACACAATATGTTGGGATCTGTCCGTACGCCTCGACATTTCTATAAAATACTCATATGGAATCGTGCGTAATATTTGACAAACAGCTCATGTATTTTTGAGTTTTTCCCTAATTTCAATTATGACGACCTATCTGGGGAAGTCCATTATATATTTATACACCGGTTGAGAAGGTAACTTCTAGTTAAGAGCTTGAGTTTATGGTTAAGAGGAGGATTGTACCATGTATTTATACTGGTTTATGTCATTTATTTACTCTGCCTCATATCAGTTTACTTCTTACTGTATCTGTCTTATTGGACAACTAGTTAGTGTTGATGTCGGCCCCTCGTCACTACTTCTCTAGGGTTAGGCTAGATACTTACTAGGTACACGTTGATTTACGTACTCATGTTGCACTTGCTGCACTTATTGTGCACGGTTATATATGTTTTACGTGGTCCTCTAGGTGCAGAGGCGCGACTATTGCGAGGAATTCACGGTGAGCTGCGTTCTATACTATGATCCGCAACATATATAGTCTCCATCAAAGTTATTTAGATTCTCTTGTCTAACTTATATTCTAAACAGATGTTGTATTTTATTATACTTCCTAGTTGATACTCATGTACTTGTGACACCGGGTTTTGGGGATTTCTACTGGATGTTTAGTATGATGGTTCACAAATTTTTTATCACTTCACCCTGTAAATTCTATTTGGTACTATTTAATTAATGTAAATTGTGATTTCAAGTAATAAAATGAGTAATTAAGTTGATAAATCACCGTTGGCTTGCTTGATGGCGACATTAGGTGCCATCATGACCTATAGTGGATTTTTGGTCGTGACAGTTTGGTATCAGAGCGTTAGGTTCACTTAGGTCTCACGAGTCATGAGCAAGTCTAGTAGAGTCTTGCGGATTGGTACGGAGACGTCTGTACTTATCTTCGAGAGGCTACATGGATGTTAGGAGCACTTCCCTTCTTGATTCCTCATCGTGTGATTTGATTCCTTTGAGGCTTATGCCTTTATTTTCATCCTGCTCAATCTTATGCGACGTGAAGTGCTTGTTATCAATTGGGCGTCGAAGAGTGGTGTGGTACTACAGACCTGGTGTAGGATGTTTTCCCTGCATATCCGGGCAGGCTATCATCGTCGCTTTGTGGAGGGATATTCTGTCAATTAGCTCAGTATCCGCATTTCCTGTGGTTTTGAGCCTATCCACATATTTCTATGATGTTCATGTGTTGTTATCTCACAGTGTGGTATTATATTAGGGTGCTTGTTTATGTATCGAGGCAGTGAATGACTTGAAATGAGGATATCTCAGAGCCTAATTCAGAGGTTCAACATTTAATTCCAGCATAGGCTTAGGTTGATGGAGTACCGAGACTTGATATTTTCGAGCGTGGTGGAGTTCTCATTATGGTGTGGTATCGTCGTTCTTGTTTGAACGCACTAAGGTTCACCGTGTTATGGTCTTCTTTGAATTGTCCTCAGGGCAGGGTGTTTTGAAATGGTGCCTGAGGAGCGGTTGTCAGAGCTGGCAGTGTGTAGCGGTTAAAAATTGAATTAGTATTTCTAAATGTCGATGGCTCGAGAAAGATGATATTCGAGGGGGATTAGAGTTGGTAGAAATTTATTCGCTCAGGTGCTACAGAGATGGGTGTTGATTTGAGGCAGCAATTGGGTAGCCAAGGATGAGGAAGGACATGGTAGAAAGTGACTAGGTCGACGGATTATTTTTGGAGAAGGAGGCTACGACACTAAAGAAGATTGAATATGGCAATAAGGAGTTTACTTGAAATGAAGAGGGGTGTGAAAACTTGATTATTGATTTTGGATGCGACGTGACTTCAGTTTGGAATGTATTATCGGACTTTCAGTTGATGCCAATGGGGAATGAATAGGCTTGTACAGCTGGTGGACGAGCATGGGCTGAGGAAGGTTTACTGATTTTCGTGGCAGTTGTACTAGTGCAGCGTCGTTGGGAGATGTTAGTATGGAATTTCATAGGTGGGCTATCTCCTATGGATAGGTCAGCGGTTGCATGATTTTAATGAAGTTTCTAGGAAGAGTTCTACTTACTATGCAGTAGAAGGTCGAGTATGCAATTATGGCTAATAAATTTGGAATGTTCATGAGAGGTTTAACAAAAGATTTTGAGAAATTTGGCGAGTTGACGGTGTGAGATCATGGTAAATTAAGAAGGGAGAATCTTGTGGGCTTTACATTTGTGTGATTGTAGTTTAAAGCTAAGTGGGGGAACCCACCGTCTACGATTAGATAGCGTGGATGTCTGCTTGTATGGTTTCTGGTTATCGGTGCATTAGTGGATCATTTATGACTAAGAAAAGAAAACATCATGGGTAATGTGAGCAAGGAACTTGATAAATGTGTGCTATATTTTGCCTTATTAGTCCAAGTGCAAGTTTTGGGAAGACTCAGAGTTTATGCTTCTTGTAGATGTGATGTACGAGTAAAAGAATTCAGCCGGTTGCTTCTTTGAGGGGGTGTTCATATACTAGTAGAGCGTTGGAGTTTGGTTATATTCTGGACCAGGTCAGAGTGGGTGACTCTCAACAACAATCCTAGTGGGTTCAAGGATTAAAGCGCAATGCTTAAGGATTTCAAATCCATTGTGTGGTTAACGATCGAGTTCGCACAGTTGATTATGAAAGAGGCTTGGAGCGTACTATGTTATCGTCGGGTCTACGGTGCAGTATTGGAGAAAAGGAAGAAAACAGATTTGGATTTGCGAAAAGTCTTGCAGGATGTATGTACCAGTTGG